CGGATGTCAGTCTGAGCGAGATTAGAATGGCTCTCCAGCACCTTAAAAACGGAAAGTCCCCGGGCGAGGATGGGATTACAGCAGAGATTTTGAAAGCGGGTGGAAAACCGGTACTTGAAGTCCTTCAGAAGCTCTTTAATTCCGTCCTCCATGGTGGCATTACACCGGAGGCGTGGAGCAGAAGAGCAGTGGTCTTGTTCTTCAAGAAAGGTGAAAACACTCTCTTGAAGAACTACAGACCAATTTCCCTTCTGAGCTGCGTCTACGTGCTGTTTTCGAGAATCATTACGAATTGTCTCGCGCGCAGTCTTGAGGACTTCCAGCCTCCCGAACAAGCCGGTTTCCGAAAAGGCTTTAGCACCATAGACCACATACATACCCTTCGACAAATTGTACAGAAATCCGAGGAGTACAATTTGCAACTATGTCTGGCGTATGTGGACTATGAGAAAGCCTTTGATTTCGTCGAAATTTGGGCGGTGCTGCAGTCCCTTCAGCGGTGTCAAGTTGACTGTCGGTATATCGAAGTGCTGAAGTAGGGCTACAGTGGGGCTACGATGGCTATCCGAGTACAGAACCAGAGTACGAAACCTATCCAATTGCAGAGAGGTGTAAGACAGGACGACGTTATATCCCCGAAACTCTTCACCGCTGCATTGGAAGACGTTTTCAAGCTTCTGGACTGGAAAGGATACGGTATTAACATCAATGGCGAGTACATCACTCACCTTCGATTTGCCGACGATAAAGTCCTTATGGCAGAATCGGTGGAGGACTTAAGCACTATGCTCAATGATCTCAATAGTGTTTCCCAACGGATAGGTCTTAAGATGAACATGGATAAAACAAAGATCATGTTTAATGTCCATGTCACCTATGCCGGTAGTTGTTGGGACTACTAAGCTCGATGTTTTTGACGAATATGTTTACCTGGGACAAATAGTCCGACTAGGTAAGTCCAACTTCGACCGAGAGGTCAATCGATGGATTCAAGTCGGTTGGGCAGCGTTTGGGAAAGTACGGCACATCTTATCGTCAGCTTAGCTATTCTTTAGCTTTGACTTTCCACAATCAAGGTTCGGAACGATATATATCGATAAATTCTTCCAGCCACTTGCGTTGATTTGGCATGGCTTTTGTTTATTTAAACTAGAAAGCAGCAGAAAACTCGTACTCATTCCGACGCTTTTTTAGCAAAACTGACAACTGCGCCGTTTTTCTACTATACACCTTCAGGTTAAACTGCACAGTTTTAACTGTACAGTTTTACCTAATGATATTTCGATTAGATTGTCAGTTCAACTATACAGTTCACAGTTTTGCCTACACACGCATGTTTTAACTGAACAGTTCAACTGTACAGTTAAACCTGAAGGTCTGTAGCCCGTTTAAGTGACAGATTTTTAAAAGCCTGTATTATAAAATAGTTTCAATTTTTTAATTTACTCTCACTTGTGGAATGTTATAAACATAACCGAAATACACAACACACTATTTTTCACGCTTAAAACTTTAAAGTATTCTTAGACGTTTTGAACAAAACAACGGCCATTTGCAGATTATGTAAAAAAAATTTCCCGGTACATTCAATGGCAGCGCACCAAATCGGCGCAAACGTTTTGGTGGATATAGTGGTCTGTCGCTTTCAGTAGTCGATATAACTTCAAATAATTAGAATTGGGTACTTTATACAATATGAAAAAACTGCATCCAGCTTGAATATACAGTGCTGTGCCATTATTAAAAACGCATAAAATGCAGTATAAGTCCAAAAAGCTAATAGAACCAAATAAGAGTAAAATAGTACACGCATATATCGTTGCGCTATGAATGGTAATAATACAGCGTAGCGAACTCTTTGTCGACAATTAACAAATTTGGTTTTATTATCTTTTTGCTCTTAATTTGCATTTTATGCATTTTTAACTTCAAGCAGGGTGCAGTTTTTTCATATTGCAAAAGGTACCCATTTCTAATTATTTTAAGTGTTATCGATGTTATAAGTTGAGCAATATTTACCAATTTTTTATTTCTAAACTACATGGGTAATGGTACAATATAATAATATATATTTTTGGAATGTGCTATTTGAAATATACTCCAAATTCATAGGCTGGTAAAGGGGGGGGGGCTGTCATTGCCCTATATAGTATATTATCTATGGCTGTCATTTAGGGATGACAAGGGAAAAAATATATCGATATATGTAGAATCGATATTTTTAATCAGTATCGATATATATCGCGTGATAAATTTCGATATATCGTCATCATTTGCATGATGTAAAAATAAGGTCCATAATCTTATATTACTCTCGGTTAGACGACGAAAAAAAAACGACAACCAACCCAACACATGAATACTTTTGTACCTCCTTTTGTTGTTAGATGTTTTATCATTAATACAACATTTCAAAATATAGAGTAGATATATGGATGTAAAGGAGGCGAGAGAGGTGTGTCAGGATCGCACTAAACAGTAAAATATTATATCAAAAATTGCATTTTACAGGAGCGACCAAACCATGGCTAGGATCTGCCTCCAATGGACACATAGAGGATGGTATAAAAAGTTCCATACCCTGAAGTACCAAACCAGCAACAGAATCGGCAACAACGCTGGGATTTTCCGGCGAAAAGCAAACCCGCCCCAAAGGGTAGGATGTGTGGCGGGTAGAAGGAAAAGGGGAGATCTCCCGCTACAGTGTTCGGCACGGCTCTGAGGCAAGAGGCAAGTAATCTGCGAGAGTGCTGTGTAGCAGAGGCGAGCAGTAAGGCTCAGAGCCGTGCCGAACACTGTAGCGCAGAGAGTAGCTGGAAGGAACAGGAAGCATTATTATTCCAGTGCTGCGATGAACCTTTGTAAAGCTAGATGGTTTGCTGAATGTGAAGACTGCAGACAATATCTGCTCGGGAGCGAATGAATAGGGTACTTGAGGATGATGACGAAGCTTTGAAGTTGTAGTTTCCGAAGGTTGTTGGTTGCGTGTTCAATCACGCCGGGGTCACCACTGTGGCGGGTGGAAGAAAAAGGGGAGATCTCCCGCCAGGCAAGGTGTTCTGCCCGGGGAGCGACCAACGCTCCGATTGGTAGTTCGGAGCTATTCTATATATGCTGCTTTAATTTCGGAACTTTGATAGCGCAATTAAGGCTTCGATGTGTTTCGCTTGTGCGCGACGGCAGCGCCGCCACAGATCCAAAAAAAGACCGCATTCCGTCCCAATCGGCCCACCTATAGTGCCAAACACGGCGGCCAGCTGCAGATCGCAATTGCGATGCGAGCGTGAGTGGCACCGTACTCCGGATCAGACAATGGTCCGAAGAGCCCAGAGGGGCATCGACGGAGAGCTGATATCTGTCCGGATGAGAGGTCAGCAGAAGCCCCAATAGGGAAGATACATGATCCTCCACATCTGGGATCTGCGTATGCGAAGTAACCAATTATGTTAGACCATATGCCAAGGCAAAGTCATAGACAGATCTACCTGCATGATCAGTCAAACGGGAACCAAGCCATTCAGGGCGTTAAAATCACCGAGTATCACGATCTCTGCGGATGGAACCGGTTGTAGCACAGTTGTAGAGTTAATTGTTGTAGAGTCTACAGCCATTTGGACGTGGTTGATGAGTCGGTCTGTGGCGGCATTACCGCTATGGGACCTATAGCGGCACCCGTAGACGCAGGAATGGTCGTCGCTGTCTACGCGCAGCCATAGGATGGACAGGTCCGTACCTTCAAGACTGCCGAGGCGTCGAAAACAGATGTCCTCTCTGACGTATACGCAAACTCCAGCCCGAGACACAAAGGAGTGTTCTAATTTGTATCCCGGGTAGGAGAGATATGAAGTATCAGCCGGAGAGGACACCTGAGTCTCGGTTAAAAAGAGCAAAGCCAGCTTCACCGTCTCTAGGTGGTAATGGACAGCGTTAAGGTTGGAATGAAGTCCCATGATGTTGCAAAAATTCACGGATAGCGTGACAGGGGTCGCCTTGGTCTTATTGCTCCATTTGCCCCAAGCAGTATTAGTCGCGAGCAGAATTTTGCCCCCTCCCCCCCCCCCCCCGAATACGCGGGGAAGCCTGAGCACCCACGCTTAGGAGTGGAGTAGTTTGGTCGTGGATGCTCAACGAGGAATTCTCCAGGGGTGCTTGTACCCTCATGGCATAGTTTTTTTTGATTCCGTAAAACCACTACTTCACGCTGGTATTCTGTGAGGTCGTGGTACTACCCCGGTTCGAACCGGCCCATCCATGCGACAGCAAAAGCCACGTGGCTCTACCACTATTAAAAACAATATCGCGATTTAAAATATCGACGATATATATATATATATATATCGATATTTTTTACCCAAGCCTACTGTCATTGTCATTGATCATAGTAATCCATCAAGTAAAAATAGAGTTTTGGCGGGAACTTGACCAGCGGGGGTTTGCTGCTCCTATATTATTGTTTAAATAATGGTTTGAAGTAGACTTTGATATGTAAAAGTGGTGCGATTTTGTGTATTAATTGTCTACGCATGTGAACTATTAGTGGAAACAGTGAAACAAGTGCTCTGATGGTGATGGATTCTCAAGATAAGCTGTTTGTTTGCATAGGCGCCTTTAGATACCATCGCCAACTGTCAGCTGTCTGCTGGATTAAGTTGCCGTCAAAATCTTCCAAGAACTGCACAATGTGACGCATCAACATATTGTGAAGCAGTGAACTATGAAGGATAATTACAAAAGACAAGGCTGTATGGCTTAGTTCCTTTGCCTGTTCTCTCGAGCGAATAATAAAAACAACAACAACAATCAAGTAAAAATAAAATTTATGATATGCTAACAGCTAAATAATTATGTTTTAGTTATAAATTCTGTATTACTCAATCATATGATTAAATAACGCTAATAAGGAGTTTGATATTCAGGTTTCTAGCACTCTAATAAAACGGTAGATCCGAATGTTTCTGTTATAAAACAGTTGAATGAAATATTTTACGTAAATCCTTACAATGCTACCTGGGATTGGAGTGTTTGGAACTGGATCAGTAGCAAAAGTTCTAGTCCCATTTTTAAGAGAAAAAGGATTTTCAGTGGAAGCAATATGGGGCACGACCTTACAGGAAGCCGAAAATACTGCGAAAGAACTTAAGATTCCATTTTTCACCAACAAAATTGACGATGTTTTGCTGAAGAAGAATGTAAATCTTGTTTTTATCGTCTGTGCGCCATACCTTCATGCTCAAATATCAGTTAAAGCTCTTGGAATTGGAAAACATGTTGTTTGTGACAAACCAGCGGGACTCTGTCAAGCAGAAGCACTGAAAATGGTGCGAGCAGCCCAATATTATCCAACATTAATTTCTATAATCAATCATTCCTTGAGATTCTTACCAGCATTTAGTCATATGAGAAAATGTATTCAAGATGGTTATTTGGGCAATCCTGATGAATTAACTTTAATGGATGTTCGTGTTCAAATGGGATCACTGCTTGGTGATACTTATAATTGGTTATGTGATGATACCATGGGAGGTGGCACTCTTACTCTTGTTGGAAGTCATGTCATTGACTTGGTGTCATTTTTAACAGGGCAGAAGGTTGTCAAAGTCCATGGTGTGCTGAGGACATTTGTAGAAGAGACTGCCAAAGTAAATGGCATTAGAAAAATTACAGCTCCCGACTTCTGTACATTCCAGTTGCAAATGGACAAAGGTTTATTAGTTACAGCCACATTGAACAATCACTTGCCTGGTCCTTGTTTTAACCAGGAAATATATTGTTGTAGTAAAAAAGGATATTTGGTGGTAAGGGGTGGAGACTTATATGGTAAACTGCACAAGATAAGTCCTAAAAATTCTCAAGAAGAGGAATGTAAAAGGCCTCATGATAGGGAAGAAGTTATATATGTGGACGTTGAAGATTTGAGTTGTACATCAAGTGTAATACCAAAACCTTACATAAAGGGCTTATGTAAAATGATAAGTGCACTCAAGGAAGCATTCCTTCCAGTTAAAGAGCAAATGGATTGGGTTAAAGAACCAGTTACAGCTGCTGCTACTTTTGAAGATGGACAAAGAGTGCAAGCAACTATGGAAGCATTAAGAAAATCAAGTGAAGATGGATGTTGGACCACTGTTCAATTACTAACAGAGCCTCCAGATCCAAACCCAGCACTGTCTGCAGCAGTCAGAAGAACTGCCATATCTTTACAATAGCATTAGGTGTTACTTAAGTTGTACTTATGTAGCCATCGTTTTGTACCTTATATTTTAGTATTATAGATATTTTTGCTTGTAATATTTGTGTTATCACATAGTTAAGACTGTTTTATTGAGATTCTAGAGTAAATTATTAAGTTATTATCATATTGTACAAATTATTGGAATCACAATCTGATCAAAAATTTAACTAAAAAATAAATTTAAGGCAACACTGAGTATGTTCTGACTTACTTTAATAGATATATTACATAGGTATATTCACCACCATTACTGTATTGTTTATGGCCATGCACAGCTTAATATCCAGAGCATTTTCAACAAGTTTACTAAATTGCAATATTTTAATAAGTATTTCTTGATTTGAAATGTGATAATGTTTGTTTGTTTGATTTGATAGTATTTTACCACAGTATTAATAAAATGTATGTTATAGCAATCCTAATTTTGTTTAATAAGCTTTTATGAGTTTTGTTAAAAATTATACTTATTGGCTCTTAGGACAAAAATAATTTAAATATAAAAATGCAAAAAATAGATTCATTAACCAGTAGTATAACTGCTTGCCATAGTAACTAAATGTATAGGGATTTGTAAAAATAGTAATCTTAAATTAACTTTCATTTAATTGGTTGTATGATTCATATTTGTATTAGTAAGAAATTATACATTAATTTACTTTGCATTTGGTTCTTTATACACCCTAGACAAGGTTTGAAAACATATTTCAAATATTAAATATAAATCATAATTGTTGGAATTTATTTTTTTATCTAGTTTTTTATTCTGACTACAGAAAAATTAAGTGCAGTGAAATCAACTACTATCATAATTTGTGTGATATTTGTAACCAACTTCAAGTATATTAGAGCTTTACATTATAGTGGGGGTGCTGCCGTATTAACATCCGATGTGAATGACAAATTAAGGAATGATTCTGTGCTATCTAGTCAAAATCCAACACATTACGAGTATTTCTTAGCTTCAAGAAATTTCAAGAAGTTTTTTTTACAATTAATTGCTTCTGTGCTGTTCCCGAACAACATAGCTAGGCAATCGAGAGAAACAACTGCAGCTCAGACTTAATATACCTATGACGTAATGATAAACTCATCTATACTATTCACCTGTTTCCTTATATAAGGATCAATAAACTTCTATTAAAGGAAAAATTCTAGAGCAATATAATGTACTCCAGACCGAATTTCGGTAATGGCGGCCAGCTTCAACTGAGACTAGGCATCGGCGCAGGACAGGAATTATAGTACCAAAGTGTATGTGCAAGCACATGTGTCCTCTCTATTCCCTCACTTTCATAGTGCAATGGGTCAGTAAACAGACACAACTGGAGGGAGATCAGGCACAGGACCTACAGTTTTACGTGCTTTTTGAGGTGCAGAGGTGAGACACTTCCTGGCTCTGGACAACTACTGAGAATTTATTGATAGAAAAACTCGAATAATTGATTTTTTGGCCCAATCTGGGTTTTGAGCCCGGGACCTCATGATCACCAGTTGCACTACTACAACCACAACACCAATGATGCAGTCGGAGAATATAAGGATTGTGGCTAAGTCTGTTTTCCTCTTATTATATTTTATGTTAGTAATTTGTTTTCTTGTCTGATAACGGCAATTTTAGTAATTATAACAGTTATCTAGTTCCTAAAATAATTAAATTATGGAAAAAAACATGAAAAATAGCAGTGGTAGATTATAAAAAGTTCATTTGTGGTGTATTGTAAGTCTTTGCCCAGGGAGAAAAAGAAGGGATATTTTTTTGTATGAACTCTTAACTATTACTACTGTCATCTTGGACTAATTAATCATAATTTGTCTTTTGAAAGGATTGACGAAGAATATTTCAAATATAATATAATGATCAAAAAATACTGCATTTATTTGTTTGATATAAGGCAGATAGCATGTCATGTTCTAGGTAAATTGGCAATAAGTTTTTAAGCAAAATTACTTATTTTATATACATATAATATCTTGGAAACTAGATTTATTGTTAAAATAAAATACCTAATAGGCAAAAGTCAGTCAATAAACTAGTTCATTAGTTTTTTATTTATATTAAAAAAGCGATTTCTTAAAGATTTAAAAAGAAATAAAAGTATTATATTTTGTATAATAAAAGTATTGTTATTATATTTATATTTTCAATTTAATAGTTCAAACTTACTTTTTATTAATCTTTAATACCGTATAGAAGCGGTTCTTATTATATTTTACGTAACATGTTACTAAAGCATGACTACTTAGGTTATGATCAGTGATCACGTTTTGTGGAATAATGAAAACATTTAAATCAAGAGGTGTTAAAGGTAGAAAGTAACACACAAATATTTTATAACAATCTTATAATAAATGCAAAGAAGTTAACATTACGTCCCCACAGTAACGAATTACACAATCACATTTTCATACATAACTACAACTAAAAAGTCTAAACCAATTCGAATCCCGCGAAATTATAATAAGCACTAAATTTAATTTTCTATCTTGGCTAGAATGTCCGATTCCCTGAAGAGATGATACTCCTTATCATCATTTTCCAGGGAAACTTTAGTACCGCCGTACTCTGGTAGGAGAACTCTGTCACCAACTTTCACTAATACGGGAATAAATTCGCCGTCTTCTTTCCTTGCTCCAGGTCCTACAGCAACCACTTCTCCATGTAACACCTTAGACTGAGCCTTTTCAGGAATAACGATGCCGCCTGCCGTTTTGGTTACCGCCTCGGCTCTTTTGATTAAAACACGGTCAAGTAATGGAATAAGACGTTTAACAGCGTTTGCCATCGTGCTGAGCGTTAAAATATAAAGATAAGATATGAATTAAAAGAAAACGATCAATGCAGCTTGCAAAATACTTTTCTTACAATCTAGAATATTCGTCACTTTTCCAATTCCAACAATGCCGGTAGTAAATTTGACTGAAGTAAAATCCATGTGTTACCTGTGTTGCCTACACTACCAGTTTGAACTTTTTATTTCTTTTTTCTTAAAAAACATATAAATGTATTATTTAAAAATATGCTTGTATATTTTTTATTAAATAATAATATAATTTTGTAATTTATTCTTATTAAAATAATAATTTTCTATTTTACTTGCCTACCTTTTGCCATCTAGTGGTGAGTAGAATGACTAATGGAATTTCTATGCTTCACTAGTAAAATATAGCCGATAGGTGGCCTTACCAGGTTATATCATAATAATATTATGTTATCGCTGTAGATTGCGACCACGGAACATAAAAAACAAGGATTGTTTATTTTATATTCGGTGATTGCGACCATAATAATTATTAATAACATCATTTCTGTTAGACTAACAGAAAGGCCATCTTATTAATATATAATATAATAAGATTTATTGCATTATACAATACAATAAGATTTATTGCATTGCTCTAACAGTTAGAGCAATTTTTCAGCTTTTAATATAAATAAGTTTTTATTTTTTATTTTAGAGCGTTTAGACCAGTGGTGGACAAACTTTCTTAATAGGGGGCCAGAAAGTTTAAAAAATTTCATAAGAGGGCCAGAATTATAGGAAAAATACATTTTGTGTTGAAACTTTTAATGATATAAAAACATTACAGCATTACACGCTTGCACAAATGTTAAAAATTACAATTTAACTTTTATTCAAAGGCCAAGCCATGTGAGACATATGAAATTGCTTTTGATTTGCCATAATATTTTCAAATGCAGGTTCGAGCTGCGACGAAGTAACTTTCAACAGCGCGTAAAGGTGTTCATCAGTAAGTCGTTTTCTGATTAAGTTTTCCGCAATGTCATGGTCGAAAAAGTCTATTCGCACACATACGACGACGCAAACATCGTCATAGTTTTCTGGGCGTGAGAAATCATCTTTGGTAATTCAGCTTTAGGCAGTTTTCTATAAAAATCTAGCTTTGTACCCAGCGTCCCGCGACCTGCAACACATGAAATACGCGGCTAGTCTAGCTGGCTCCTTTACTTATGCGTCTATTATTCTACTAAGTAGAATCTACTTTATATTTCTGGACCGTCAAAATATAATTATCGCGGGAAAATACTTTTCATGTCGAAGGACCATCGGCGGGCCGGATTAAATGCATTCGCGGGGCGGAGGTGGCCCGCCGGCCGTACTTTGCCCATCACTGGTTTAGACAGTCTATATTTTGAAATGCACATCTTGTTATGTTTATTGAAGGAATGATTCTGAAGCGTGCGTCCATGTCAAATTGATTGTGATTCTATCTATCTTTAGTAAAATAAGATAATTCTAATCATGAGATTGACCTGTTTTAATATTAGTACTCACAAAAACAGTGAGATTGATATATAAATTACTCTTATTAATTAGTTGTAGGTATTGCGCTAAATTTACATTGAATTATTCAGTCGCAATCTCTTTCAGTAGAATGCAATATCTACCAATGTTCAAAAACCTAAAAATAAAAACCGAAATGTAAGATTGGCACTGGTTTTCCTTTCGGGTAATATCCGCAACAAGCATCAAGTAGTCAAGTACACAGGATACGAGGCGGCACTGCGTGACCCTCGATGGAATGTGTTCAGACGCCGGTCAGTCTCGGTCACACCTGCACGGTAAGTGCAGCGCTCTTATACAAAGTAGGGCTGTACTAAATACTTAAAATATTTATTTGCACTCTTAATTTTACTTTACTACTTACCGTTACAGCCTATTAAAGTCCATTGCTGAAGATAGGCCTCCCCCATAGATTGCCTCATAGGGTGGGATATTTGCCATAGTTGTCACGTTTGGCAAGCGGGTTGGCAACCACAGTTTTTTTTTATTTTAATCGTTACTAGGAGGACGCTGCTGCCCATCTCTTGATTAGTTTTCTGTGTCGCTTTTTAAGACACCCACGGGATAATATGGGGTAGTGGATTTTCTTTCACCGCCACTACACGGTCATTCCTTTATTACTTACTCTGTGGTAAATCCAGATTACGTGACGAAATCAGTATTTCAATGACATGACGTGGAAACGGCCAACAACATCTTTCACCACCAATACTAAGGTAGCGCAGCAAATATCTTCAGCCCTTTAAAGTAAGCGGTCTCCCACTATCAACCAGAATTTTAAAAGAAGCTTATGTCCTTTTTATTAATAGAATGTACCTCTAAGCCAATTCCACTAAAATTTCTTCAGCCGTTTCTGCGTAATTGCGTAACAAACATCCAAAAAGCCGAACTTGTACGACTACCTTTACCAAGCGTTTCGTACTTTAGTTTTTTACGATATTCATGGGACGAAACAGGGTGATGGATTCTCTTAAGCTGCTAACACACGACGCACTCAACTATTTACATTGCCATAAGAATAATATATCTACATATAAACATCCTAATATACATAGAAACATTTTTTTATAGGATAGGGTGACAAACGAGCACACAGTCCACCTGATGGTAAGCGGTTGCTGAGGCCCATAGACATCTACATCCATCCTCGTTTGCGAATCAAAATGCAGATGCGTTGTCACCCGTGAGGCCTAAGATGGAATGCCTCTTTTCCAGTAAGAAGGGTCTCCGATTCTCTAAACTCACCATACGAAACACAGCAGTGTTAAGCTGCTATTTTACGCTGGTATTTTTTTTTATAGAATATGGGTGACAAACGAGCACGCAGTCCACCTGATGGTAAGTGGTTGCTGTGGCCCATAGACTTCTACATCTATCTTCGTTTGCGAATCAAAATGCAGATACATTGTCAGCCGTGAGAACTAAGATGGAATGCCTCTTTTCCAGTGAAATGGGTCTCCGGTTCTCTACACTCACCATACGACACCACACCCCAGCATTAAGCTGCTATTTTACGCTGGTATTCTGTGAGAGCGTGGTCCTGCCCCGGTCGAGCCGACCCATTAGTGCTACAACTATACTACTAATATAGCTACAGCATGGCTCTACCACGTATAAATAAACATAACGATTTCTCTATGTAAAGTGTACATATTTATAAACTGTATTATGCAATCATTTTATAATTATTGATATATTATGAGTATATTCGTTCATATTATATGTGCTGCCATACCGTCATAATCAGATTGCGCTAAAACCTAGTCAACTTATTTATGCACTTACGGGAAGGCTAAAGTAGGCATAGTACAATTAACTCACAGTAGGTGGCGCGCGTATCGTAACGAAAAAAATATTTGAAAGTTATTATCGTCATCATTATCATTCCTAAATTAAACAATATAACTATTACAATTTTAAAATGATATTTCCACAATTATTTCTTTTGCTAAAATAAAATTTAATAGCCCTGCACTACAGACTAGCAGACCACGCACACCTAAGCACAATGCAATCCTTGAGCTAGCTCACGTATTCACGCATTGTTACCGATTATAATGCCCAGTGTAGCTCACCGATATTTACTATATTTATATATATCAACATTACTATATACCTACCCATGTATTATTCTGTTTATAAATCGCCCCGGACAGCAGATTTTAAGGGTTAGCATTTTGTGAAAGAAAAGTCAGGTAAAATTCTCAAAAAATTCACAAGTCCACGGCTGGACATAGGCCTCCCCCCAAGCAATGCCACAAAACACGGTCTTAAGCCACCTGTTCCCTTCAATAATGTCGGCTCTACAAGAATGCTATCGAGAGACTTTAATCTCCATGGGTTGTTGGTTGCTCGAGTTATACAGCCACAGCCACTTCAGCTTACTGATCCGTTGGACTAACATTGTAGTCTTTGCGTTGGACTGTCGGTAACTCCGGTTCTGCGGATATTTTAATTATAACGTTTACTACTCAAATAAACTCCACGCATAGCCGTTCCATAGCTCGCTGGGTAACGTTTGATTAAAATATAACTTAGCTGAAGCGTCGAAAGTTCTAAAAAAGAAATAATTTGCTCACACGCACACTTGCCAAAATAATTATAAAAATATGCTATTGTTTATATTGGTCCTTACATATGAAATTAGCGTTTAATCGTAGGCACTGACCAATTTGATCCGAAATATCTCCTCTTTGGTTAAGAATTCCAAATTCAAGTTTATAAATTCATTTAGCTGGTACATTTGAGTTTTGAAAACAATCATTCTTTTTTTTTTCTTCAATTTTTTTTTCTTTGGCGTCGCTTATTACTGTACAATGGAAAACATGAAATATCGGTATATTTACGAGTACGAGTTCTACCGTGGCACCAGTGCTGCAGAAACAGCTCTAAGGATTAATGATGTGTACGGCGCTGGTGTCGTAAAAGAAAGCACGGTACGTTTTTGGTTTCAACGTTTTCGTTCTGGAAATTTCGACCTTCAGAACCAACCCCGTGGACGGCCGCACACCAAAGTGGAAAATGAAGATTTAAAGGCAAGCGGATCCATCACAAAGCACTTCAGAGATAGCTGCAGGCTTCGGGGTAAGTGATAAAACTATATTAACCACTTGAAGCAAATCGGGAAAGTAAAAAAATTTGAACGATGGGTACCTCATGAATTGAGTGAATCTAACTTGCAAACACGCGTCGACTGCTGTGTTACTTTGCTCAACCGACACAATAATGAAGGGATTTTAAATCGAATCATTACTTGTGATGAAAAGTGGATACTGTACGATAATCGGAAGCGGTCGTCGCAATGGCTGAACCCTGGAGGCCCAGCCAAATCCTACCCTAAGCGAAAATTGACTCAGAAAAAGTTACTTGTGAGTGTTTGGTGGACTAGCGCCGGTGTCATTCACTACAGCCTACTAAAATGTGGCCAAATGATTACCGCAGATATCTATTGTCAGCAACTGCAAACTATGAAGGAAGAA